TAAATAAGGCCATATTAGTTTTTGGTGTTAATTAAGATACAGTATATCTTTTTACCTTGTGTTTTTAACCATGAGCCTAACGGGTGCAGGACTTCGCGAACTCGGATGGAAATACCAAAATGGCATTAACGTCGAGAAAAATGAACATAAGGCTTTTGAATTCTATAAAAAATCTGCAGACATGGGATATGCAGTTGCAATTTTCGATGTTGGATATTTTTATGAAAAAGGAATTGGAGTTGAAAAGAATGAACATAAGGCATTCATTTATTATCAAAAATCTGCAGAGATGGGGAATGTTAGCGGAACATTTAGTGTTGGATATTGTTATGAAAAAGGAATTGGAGTTGAAAAGGATGAACATAAGGCATTCATTTATTATCAAAAATCCGCTGAAATGGGGAATGCTAGTGGAACATATAATGTTGGATATTGTTATTTTAACGGGATTGGAGTTGAAAAGGATGAACATAAAGCATTCATTTATTATCAAAAATCAACAAAGATGGGATACGTTAGTGGAATATACATGGTTGGACATTGTTATCAAAATGGAATTGGAGTTGAAAAAAATGAACGTAAGGCATTCATTTATTATCAAAAATCTGCAGAGATAGGACTTGCTGAGGGACTATTTACACTTGGTATCTGCTATTATAAAGGATCAGGTGTTAAGAAAGACGAACATAAGGCATTCATTTATTTTCAAAAATCAGCAGAGATAGGACATGCTGGTGGGATGAATAGTGTCGCGCAACGTTATCGATTTGGAGAAGGAGTTAAAAAAGATGAAAAAATGGCATTTTTTTATTATCAAAAAGCTGCTAAAATGGGGTACTTCTGTTCGATTTATAACCTTGGAGAATGTTACCAGAATGGAATTGGAGTTGAAAAAGATTTGATAAAAGCTTTTGAATTGTATTTGCAATCTGCTGAACTTGGTCTAGCTGATGGAATAAAAAAAGTTGGGTATTGTTATAGAAATGGTATTGGAATAAAAAAGGACTTAAAAGAGGCTGAGCATTGGTTTCGAATGTAAGTTCCTTAAAAAAAGACAAATCTATAATATACTAGATATTTATATAATAATTGTAATTTATAGGGAAAAAAGCAAATTTCAAGGTATTTTTTTTTGAATTTTTGTATAAATATTTGAATTTATGATTAATATGTTTTTTAAAAAGTTGAAGGCATTTTGCGAGATCGGATATAAAAATCCATCGTTCTTAAGATGCTACGGATTATCAAGAGATAATTTAGGAAAATATATTCTTATTTTGGAATACGCAGAAATGGGGTCTTTGCGTAATAATCTTCAAAAAGTATCGCAAATGAGATGGGAAGAAAAATTAAATTTATTAAGTTGTATAACATCAGATCTTGAAGCAATTCATTCGCAAGGATTAGAGCATCGAGATCTTCATAGTGGAAATATTTTACAAAACGAAATAGATAACGCGTATATTACAGATTTGGGGCTTTCTAATATGAAACAAGAAATCTATGGAGTTTTGCCTTATGTAGCACCAGAAGTTTTATTGAATCAAAAATTTACAAAGGCATCAGATATTTATAGTCTCGGAATTATAATGACAGAAATATCAACAGGGGAAAAAGCTTTCGATGGTTGTGAATTTAATAACGATCTAGCCATAAAAATTTGTTGTGGATTACGACCAGAAACCGCTGTCGAGACACCTAAATGTTATGTTAAATTAATTAAACAATGCACGGATTCTGATCCAAACGAAAGGCCTACCGCTAGATGTGTTAACGCGGTTGTGACTGTTTGGATTGAAGAACTTACGAGTGGGGGCAGTAAAAGCAAGTTTAAAAGACAATTCTTAGAGGCTGATAACATGAAACCAAACCCTGAGTTAGAAACTAATAACGTGAAACCAAGCCCCGAACCAAAAAAGCACATGGATCACATGTACATGAGCAAGCATATTAACACGCAAGAAATCACTAATGCATTTTCAAAGTCGGTGATTTCTAACAATCTAATAGATAGTGTAGAAATTCCTTATGACGTATGATTTTAACAAATCTGTTGATAGCGTAAAATTCCTAAAGAGTAAAGACTACAACCACAATAACATTAAAAATATGATTCTTAACATTAATAAAAATTATGTCGATACTTTAGTGTTACGATTTTAAAATCTACCATCTACAGAATCTTGAAGTGTCGAATTTTTTATACTATAATCTGTAAATTCTGTAATCATTAAATCTCGGTTTGTTATAATAAAATCCTATCATATTGATATACTTGTTGTCGTTAATATTTTTAATTTACATAAATAAATAACCATATACATTTATATGAATCCAAATAATATATTCTTTTATTCTTGGTTGTAATATGGTTAGTGTTTTGCAAAAAGGAATTATCATATCAAAAATCAGGTAAAATATATATAGTGTGCTTGTCAACTCAAACATGAATGTTCACAAATTTTGTGAACAAGATTGTTATTGGGTTACTCTTCTACTACTTCTAATAGATTTATATGTATGTTATTTATATTTATTTTATTTATATTTTTTATCTATTGGATTTATAGCATATCAATATGAGTGAAACCTGTAAATGACCATAGTAACTTATTAAATGTAGTTACAAGTTTTCACTCTGCATATGTATTATTTAATAGTAAATTGACGGTAATTAATAAATCTAGTTCCCATACAGGATAGAAACTAGCATCAATGATCTATAATAATGAATCACACAAAACATCCTAAGATTCAGTAGAGCCTTTTACTTGTCAATTAATAAAAAGTATATATGTCTTTATATAGAAATAACTCAAAGAAAGTCATACTGAAATTATACATATATCCGAATACATTTAGATGTCATCTCTTTTATAAATCAAAATCTGTTAAACTTTCTTTAATGATAATAGTAATCATTTAGCAAATATATACACATTAATTAAAAGAAAAATACAGTGTTTTTATTATTATAGTTAACTATGACTATGATAATATCTTAATATTAACATTAATATTGATTAGGACTAAACTTAAAAACTTGGCCTTAAACAAACCTATGTTTTAAGACTTTTTTATGGAATCTGATTTTAAAGAGCACATAATCAACCTAAAATTCTTATTGTATTATTGTGAAATGCTGGATATTATTTTGATGCATATTATTTCAAGAGAGTTAAAAATTAATTTGAACAAATGCAGTCTGCATTCATATAGTCACTCTTCATATTTTGTCACTCGATTCTACTAGAGAGGAGGAACAGGCAAACACCTTGAAGAATAACATATGGGGTATATGCTCTGCTATACACAATCAAGACAGCTCTTCTAGAGCATTGTAAAAGGATATATATATATATATAAACATATTTTTAATATGTATATTGTCTTCTGGTTTTGTCAATATCCTTTATGCCTATTTCTCTGCTTTTTGAGTCTACTTAAAGCTTTTCATAGTATCTTCCAGACTAATACTTGGGTTTCTTCTCTTTTTTTTTTTTTTTTGCACTAGACACTCTCTTGTGTCTTTCAGATTTTATGTTCTAGATTTCTCTTGTACCTACTAGGATTCCACTGCATGATTCTTTTATGTCTTTTATGTCTTTTGAAATATATACTTTAGACACTCCTTAGTGTCTTCTATTAAACTATTTGCTGGAGAGGGTGGGAAGGGAAGCCCAAACACTATTATGTTAGGCAACAGCAAAACAAAAAAGCAAAGAAAATAGTTCTTATTCACCCTACTTATATACTTACAGTTCTATATGTCATTGTGATGTACCTAGTGGATTGGTGCATATTGATCCTTGGTTGCATGTTATGCAACAGATACCTGGTATAGGTTGAATCTCGTGACAAAATACTGCCTCAAGACTTTGTTCATGAGCAGTCTATTTTGTCACTCGATTCTACAAGAGAGGGGAAACAGGCAAACATCTTAAAGAATAATATACAGGTTAAAAAGAGTATTATTGGTTAGTGAACAGATTTTTAATGCTATTAATAACAAATATGTCTTTTATACTTCCCTCTTTTTTTTTTTTTTTGACTTTATCCTCTCCCTTTTCTTTTTATCTTTTTTTTTTTTTTTTTTTTAGAATCTCATAATTCGTAAGATATAATTTGAGTTGTTGCTATTGATCTTAAGTACAGTGAAACTGCTTTTGAATCCCAACCACTTATAGCTTTTATTTGAGTTAAAGTCATTCTACCTTTCATTGCTGCAATAGCACCTCTGATTCTGAGACTGTGTGCTGTAAATCATCCTTGAATTCCCTTATAGCTTACCATTCATTTTACAATTGCAGAGATTGCTGTCACAGTCATTTTTCTCCCTTTGTTATTTAGAAAAAGTGGGCTGTCCTCTTGTGTAGATGATCTAACTTTTACATATTTTTCACACAGATGAACTGGACAATATTTACTATTTGTTCATTCTACTAGTACAAATTTCCTATTTGCGAATAGATCATTTTTTGACTTTCTAATTTTAAGCCATAACAATTCTCCTTTTAAGCAAACATCTTTTATCCTTAATTCGCAAAGCTCTTCTGGTCTACGTATTGTGCGAAAACCCAGACCTACTATTATCAGATCTTGGTGTCATAATATTGGATCTATTTTTTGAGATGAAGAATTATAGTAAAGTTTTAATGATTCTAAAGAAAAAGAATCTTGGAGCCATCATGCATCTTTTTCTAGAGCTCGCATTTGTCTTATCCCTCTTACAATTTTTTTTATTATTTTGCTATTTACAAGATCATCAATGCCTTCCTTTTTATGAATATATAAAATAGCTTTTAGGTAAATTGCAATCTGACCTCCTTGTTCTGTTATTTTTATCCAACCAAGAAATGCTTTGACTGTATTTAGATCAGTTGGATAGGCTCTCACTTTTGCCCAATTACAAAAATTCAAAAAGGTCTAAATTGTCTTATTTATTTTCTTTCTGTATATTGGACTTAAGGCTTCTTGAACAACCCTATTTGCATAATTGTTTAGAACTCTAACCAATTGATGTGAGCTGCAATTAATTTCCAGGCTGAGTTGTTGAATGATTCAACTTGATCTAAAGAACCCAGGACTATTATTTCTTTGAGTGGTGGTAACTCCATTACTTTCTTTGAAGCTAACAAAAAAAGAGGTCACCAGAGGGCTGATACCCAAAGTGATAGAATTATCACCATTTGCACTTTACATTCTCTGCAATAAGCCAAAGTTCGATAAACCAGATTGAATGACAGGCATATATAGTTCTTTTCATTTCTTCAGTTTTGTGTGAAGCAATCTATAGCTTCTATACCTGTAGAGAAAAAGTAACTGTTGAACTTGCAGGTTTTTGTATTCTGGTAACTTGCAAACTGATCGATAGTGACTTTTTCTAAATGGTTTTGAAGCCTTGCAAATATCTGATTTTTTTAACTCCAATTGTTTGGATCTCATATTCTTGTTAAGTAATCTGCTAGATTTTCTAAGCTTGGTATCTAGTATACTTCATGTATCAATATATCATTTTCAGCATAGAATTCCTAAAGATTTCGTGCTATTTTCTTCTGCCAAAGTTATTTTCCACCCTTTGTTATAACTTTTCTGACTATTTCGTTATTGATATATAAATTTACCCATGAATGGGTTAGCAAATTTTTGAAAGAATGGAGTGCTCTTAGTGCTGCCAAACTTTCTAACTGAGCAAATTCTCGAGCAGAAAATAGATGAATCCAATTTCCTGCTGCTCTGTGCTTCATATGTGTTCCTATCAGCCAATTGTAGAAACATTTACAAATACTGACTTTATTAGAGAAGGCTTTCACATTGGCTTCCCATTCCATTTCTTCAAATTTTTGACTAGCCAAATTATATCCTCCTAAGCTTGGTTTGACAGAATCATATTTTTATCCCACTCTCAATAGTTTCGTTTCTGTGTATCAATTAGATTGTATAGTTCTAGTCATTTTACCTGTGCTGGCATAAAGGCTCAAGAGAAGCTCTGAATCCTTCCTGCAATCGATGCTAATTTTCTTACTAAGACTACTTCCATTTACTTTATATGTTCTAGTTCCTTTTTTGCAGAGTATAATTTTTCTTCTGAAATTTCAATCTGGCCTATTACTGTATTGTTCATAAGACCATATACTTATATTCTCTGTTTTAGTTCACAGTAATCTTTTTCTAATGCTCTCACCCAACCACAACTCTCTAAATCCTTTGCAATAATTGTGTCTCTTATTTCTACTAGTGTCTTTCTGTATGAATGACTTACCTAGACATCATCTAGATAGTTGTCGCAAAAGATTCTCTGAGCTTTCCAAGATCTGATTAATGCCCTCATGATTTTTGCAAAAATCCAAACTGCTTGTAACAGACCGAAGGGTAGGACTGTATAATGAAACCAATTTGAATCTATTTGAAAGCCAAGAAATTGTTGAGCTCAGTTGTCTATAAGAACATAATGATATCCATCACTAAGATCGAATACTAATATTCACTATTCTTTTCCAATTATTCTCAAAAGACCTTCCAGTCCTTCGAATCAGAATGCCTTCTTTGGCAAAGTTTTGTTTAGTCAACATAAGTTAATTACTAATCAAAATTTTTTGTCCCCAATCTTTGGGATCAAAAATATTGAGCTGACTTCTAGAAGGAAGTCTGGACTGTCTTTTCCATAGTAGATCTTCTGAATTGCTCCTGATTTTAATAATCTGCCTATTTTTTTCCATAGTTATTCCTTCTCCTCCATTGTGAATGCGAATTGTTTTGGTACCTTCATCTGTGCAAGTGTCTTTACTTTTTTTAGAAAAAGTGAAATTCTGTTTTTTAACCATAAGAATACTCTTTAAGACGATTGAATTACTTTCTTTCAATATTTTATAGCCTTTTCAGTATGTATCCTTCCTGTAACATAAATTTCTGTATTTGTTCTTAATTTCTCTTCTCCAAACTTCTCTATTATCTTTCCCCAAGTGTAGTCAGCTTCATTGTTCTGAATCTGATTTATGAAAAAACTTTTCTGATCTCTTATGAGGACAGCTAGAGGCGATAAAACCTTTTTCTTTGCAAACATAACACACTATATTGGGGTTCTTTCTTAAAAGCCTGTTTTCTCCTATTGAACTTCCTGACTGTGCTCCAAATAGAGATATAAACATGCCTATAGATGAATAGGATTGTTGACTGAATTGTTAATAATGTAAAGAAGCCTGAAATATTGGTATGCTTTAATATGGAACTTGTGTATGAATATACGTATTTTCTTAAAATGCAGATGCTAAATTTGGTCCTTCTGTCATAGCTAGATGTTTTTGCCAGGGCTTTTTATAATCTCTGTACCCTAGTCTAGGTTTTTTATTCCTTGCATTCTGTCTTGCAACTGTTAATTTTTCTTAAAAATATGCTTCTATAGGATTATTGCTTGCTACTTCTTTTAATCCCACTGCAATATTCCAGCCTTTTCTATTTGCAACTCTTAACATCTATGCTTTTGTAAAAGCTGTATCTTTTGCTTTTATTACTGGTTCCAATAATTTTTGCATTATCGCACTATCTAGATACCTCCTAATTTTCCTTTATTCATTATATTCAAATTGATCTCTCCATTTACACATCTTTTCTGCTGGCCAAAATCTATCATAATTTGTTACTTCTGGTGTAGGTAAACTATTTTCAATTCTTCTATTGCTTTCGAAATTGTCATCTGTATAGATTTCTCTAAAGTCTTTTCTAGTGCAAAAAACTTTTTATCCTTTGTTAAACTCTCATCATTCATATATTTCATTTGTAAGTGTTCATAGAAATTAGAAAGTGCTTCATCTTCCAGGTCAATAACATTTTCCAATAGTCCTTTAGCAGGGTTTTTCTTCTTCTTACTGTCTTGAGACTCTTTTTGCAACCCTTCAAACATCTCTCCTCTAATATTCTTATTACCCATACTCCTATCTTTTTCGTTTATTTTACTAACTATCCTTGATGCCAATCTTTCAATCAACTCTTTTTTAGAACCAGTGTTCTGTAAGCCTTCAGCTCTGCACAATACTCTTAACATTTCTGTTGTTAACCATTCTAAACTTCTTTTAAACTTGTAGCAGTATCAACTTGTTGGTTTTGATTTGGTGCATACATTAAGCTTTGCTCTAAGTAGTCATAATCTGACATATTGTGCCATTAAAATGTGTTTACTTGTTTTTTTTTTTTTTTTTTTGTTTGTCTATAAACTAGTTATAAATTGTTGTAAACTGTGTATTACAAAAAAGCCAAACACTACTATGTTGGGCAACAGTGAAGCAAAAAAGCAAAAAAAATAACCTTTATTCACCCTACTTATATACTTACAGTTTTATACGTCATTGTGATGTACCCAGTGGATCAGTGCATGTCGATCCTTGGTTGCATGTCATGCAACAGATACCTGGTATTGGGTTGAATCTCATGACAAAATGCTGCCTCGTGACTTTGTTCACGAGCAGCCTAGATCACATCCTCTTGATAAGCACACTAATTTTTAGAATAAACTTTATATAAAACATAAGTAATTTGACCTCTATGCAGGCAAAATTTCTTTTAAGCACAGACTTTTTGGAACCGAGACTGTACAAATAATAATTTTATGTTTTAAAAATATTAAAATTAATTTCTAGCTCTCTGGAAATTGTATACATCAATATAACACTATTTCAAAATTATATAATAAAGCCTAAATTAACTTTATCATCTTTATTAATAAGTTCTAATCAAACAAAAACATGACATTTGGTTAAAATTATAAAATTACCATACTTTTATATAATTTTACATTATTTTGATATATAAAATTTGATATGATTATAACTTTGAATATAATACTATATATAAATTAAATTTTCAATATTAAAATATTAGATAGTGAACTACAATGTCAATTATCAAATAATTAATACTTGCCAAAACATTATAATATTGATAATTAACGCGTTATATAAACAAATTACATAAAATTTAATTTATTAAATTAAGGCCGTACAAAATTAATTAAATGATTTTTTTTATAACCAGCCGGATCAAAATTTGAAAACCTTTAAAAATTTTTCTAAATGTTTAAATAACCAGGTGGGTTTCAATAAATCATATAATATTTAGATATGAAAATGGTCAGATCTATTTTTAAAAATAAAAAAAAACAAGATATAAATTTGTGAGACCTAAGTAAAATTTCATAAAATACAGTCAGGCCTCCCTAAATGCATTATAACGTGACCTTACGTAAAAATTTAGTTACCTTACATTTAGAAAGGTATTGCATTTAGGGAAATTAAATTCTATAAGTATTATATTAATTGGGCACAAGCGAAGGCGTGCATTTAACGAGACTTTTCATAGGGCGTGTATTTAGGGGTTGCATTTAGAGGGTCTGACCGTCTTTAAACAATACTAATATAAATAAGTCAACTTTGTTGCTAACCAAATTTAGCTTAAGTTCGTCTATGCTCAAATTCTAAACTAATAAATCTCAAAAACTTGATCAATAATTTTTACATAAACGAATAAGAGATATTCTTATAATCATATATAATAATATACTTGTAAAATAACAAGCCTATTATTTTTTATAACTAGCAATTGTTCTTTTAAGGTTTAGAATTTGTCAAAGTTTTGTTAGTAGTTATAGAAAGTTACCACGCAAATAATCTTAACATTTCATGGATGTATTATTTTAAAGAGAATTAGTTTATAAAAAGTTTATTTTATAAATAATTCATAAACGAGTTTGTTTCATAAACAATTCATTTTACTGATAGCTTAGTTCATATACAGTTTATTTTAAACTTGTCTGTAAACTAGTTGTCTATGAAGTGATTGTCGATGTAATATGGATTCAGATGTACTCGTGAAGAAATTAAAGTTGATCTGGTGTAAGAACATGTACATACGTACATACGTACAACATAAGGATGATTAAATAAGGTCATATTGGCTTTTTTGGCGTTATGTATATCTTGTTATCTTGTGTTTTTTAACCATGAGTCTAACGGGCGCAGAACTTCGCGAACTCGGATGGAAATATCAAAATGGCATTAACTTCGAGAAAGATGAACATATGGCTTTTAAATGCTATAAAAAATCTGCAGACATGGGATATACAGTTGCAATTTTCGATGTTGGATATTGTTATGACGTAGGAATTGGAGTTGAAAAAGATGAATATAAAGCATTCATTTATTATCAAAAATCAGCAGAGATAGGGGATGCTGATGGAACATATAATCTTGGATTTTGTTATTTTAACGGGATTGGAGTTGAAAAGGATGAACATAAAGCATTCATTTATTATCAAAAATCAACAGAGATGGGATACGTTAGTGGAATATACATGGTTGGATATTGTTATCAAAATGGAATTGGAGTTGAAAAGGATGAACAGAAGGCATTTATTTATTATCAAAAATCCGCTGAAATTGGTGATGCTAATGGAATATTTGCACTTGGTAACTGTTATCATAAAGGATCAGGAGTCAATAAAGACGAATATATGGCATTCATTTGTTATCAAAAGTCAGCAGAAATGGGTAACACTGATGGGATGAATAATGTCGCAAATCGTTATCGATTTGGAGAAGGTGTTAAAAAAGATGAAAAAAAGGCATTTAAATATTATCAAGATGCTGCTAACATGGGGAATAATTGTTCGATTCATAATCTTGGAGAATGTTATCATAGTGGGATTGGAGTTGAAAAAGATTTGAAAAAAGCTTTTGAATTGTATTTGCAATCTGCTGAACTTGGTCTAGTTGATGGAATAAAAAAAGTTGGATATTGTTATCGAAATGGTATTGGAACAAAAAAAGACTTAAAAGAAGCCGAGCATTGGTTTCGAATGTAAGTTTTTTTTTTAATAAAAAAATTCTATAAAACACTAGATATTTACATAATAATTATAATTTATAGAGAAAAAACCAAATTTCAAGGTATGCTTTTTTTTTTAGAAAATAATCTTGGTTTATTTTATCAAATCATTGTTGTTATTGATTTTAGTAATAAATAGAAATAAAGAAGTTCTCTTATTTGGATATTGATGACAACGTGAAAAAAATATTGGATGACGAGAGATACCAGTTATTGTGGATTCCATATGATAAATTTGAAGATATTGAAGATATTGGGAAGGGAGGATTTGCGACTGTTTATCGTGCTAACTGTATAATTGAATATAATGATACTTATGATAAATATTCGTTCGCAATTAAAACGATTCATGATCAAGATTTCTTTGATGAGGTAAATTTATTGAATTTTGTTCAAGTATTTGAATTTATGATTAATGTGTTTTTTTAAAGTTGAAGGCATTTTGCGAAATTGGATATAAAAATCCATCGTTCTTAAGATGCTATGGATTATCGAGAGACAATTCAGGAAAATATGTTCTTGTTTTGGAATATGCCGAAATGGGATCTTTGCGTAATAATCTTCAAAAAGTATCACAAATGAAATGGGAAAAAAGATTAAATTTATTAAGTTGTATAACATCAGATCTTGAAGCAATTCATTCGCAAGGATTAGAGCATCGGGATCTTCATAGTGGAAATATTTTACAAAACGAATTAGATAACGGGTATATTACAGATTTGGGACTTTCTAATATGAAAAAAGTAAACCATGGAGTTTTGCCTTATGTAGCACCAGAAGTTTTATTTAATCAAATATTTACAAAAGCCTCAGATATTTACAGTCTTGGAATTATAATGACGGAAATAGCAACAGGAAAAAAAGCTTTCGATGGTTACGAATCTGACAATTTAGCAATGAATATTTGTCATGGATTGCGACCTGAAATCACCGCCGGAACTCCACAATGTTATGTTGACTTAGTCAAAAAATGTATAAATGTTGATCCAAAAGAAAGACCTAACGTTATATGTGTTAACGCGGTTGTTACTGTTTGGATCGAAGAACTTACGAGTAAGAGCAGACAAAACGAACATAAAATGCAATTCTTGAGAGCTGATAACGTGAGGCCAAACTCTGATTTAGAAGCTGATAACATGGAACTAAGCCCTGAACAAAGGAACACTTGGAACACACACAAGAAATCACGATTTCATTATACCGATTTGTAATCCGATAGATAGTGTGGAAATTCTTTATACTGTGTGATTTTGTAACAACCTATTTTGATGTTTGAAATCCCTGAAGAATTGAGACAATCTCGAATTAATCACGTTAAAATCAATTATCACAGTTTGCAAAAATGGACATACTTAATTATGTCGAGTAATTTAGTAGCGTACGTGTGCCAAATTTTGCAAATTACTGCCTACGAAATATTTTTCAACAAATGGAAACATACGCAACTGTACAAAGGTATTAACACAATCGAACAAATCTTAAGATCGTGAAACACGGTTTACCAAATTTGCATTTGACGTTTGATTAATTAGTACAAGCTAATTTAGGCGAAAAAAATTGCTAAAAAAGTCAATCGAATGAATGTTTTACGGATTTGAAAGCATTATATATAGTCTATTCTTATGGCTTTGGTTATGATTATGCTATTGCGCTTGCTCTACGCTGTCTGAAAAAAAAACAACAATTATTAAGACAAATTCAAATATGAATTTAGATGATTAATTTCTAGATTATTCAACTTTTTATAAAATTTCTGGCCGGTTTTTTGCCGCCCAGATTAAATCGATAAATTTACTGCTTTTGCTTGGTTCTATGTATTTAAAACGGGATCAAAACTAATATAGCATAACAATAATCTCAAAAAAAAAAAAAAAAAATCAAAGCTATTGTTTTTATATAATCTTCACACCTACCGCTTACATTTCGGTATGTGCCTAATTGTGATAATTTATTACAATAAATTTCAAAGTTAACTTGCGGGAATCTAATTTTGACAGAAATAGATGACGTATTTATTTTGAATGAATGTTGTATTGACTTTATTTGATTTTCCATGATTTTTGTTGTTGAAAAGTCTATTTATTTCGTTAAATGGGAGTCTCATTTCCGATTTTAAAAGTTTGAAAGCCCTTATTATGACCATTCCATTTATTTCCTCTTGCATAAGTTTGACTACATAAAAGTATATCCTATTATGCATAATTATATATTTCTCGTTTACATCTCACATAATTCACAATAATTCACTGTATTTGCCCGATGCATTTCTTGTTATTTTGGAAATTATTTTGCTAGTGATAAAAAAAATGATTCTTAACAATGTGAAAATAAGGCCGTTTGAAACTATGATTTGTTTTACGTTCTTCACCACCACTTCCAAGAGCTCGCCGCTGAAATTAAAAAGCCAATAATAACGTCCATTATGTCTTTGGATTTCAACAAATCAAGTGACCACAAATCAACAATCATAATAGAATTTTTTTTTTTTTGAGATGTTATATTATGTTTGTCTAATTTGACTCCCGCCTCTCATTAAGCTTCGGAAGAAATGTTAAACGAAATTATAACTTCAAACGGCCTAAATCTTAATGCTTAAATTAAACATTTGATAAAAATTATGTCAATACGTTATGATTTTAAAATAGATACTCTACAGAATCATGTAAATTATGGTTTAAATTGTTGAATTATTTATTGAAAATAATTCCAATAATTTGTAAATTCCATAGCTACCCTACCTAACATAGCGGGCTTTAATTTTGATTGGATTATCGGATAAAACGTTACAAGTATGTTCTACATATTAAAGTAATTTTTCCCAATTTTAAAGTATATACCTCGTTTTATAAACTATCAAAGTAATTCGGTAATCCGCAAAGTAATTCGGAAGTTAGATGAGAACGCTTGAGTTTAGGCTATATATATAAAAAGTCATTAAAGTTGGCAATTTAAGTTGTTCTATTGTCTTTATTTGTGGAAACTTATCTTTATACCACAACTAATAACGGGTAATATAAAGTTAGAAGTTATGTATAGGGCTTATAGAATCCATGAGAAGAGTTGAAACGAAGTCGTGCATTGTGACTATATAACGATTAAGATCAGTTTGATATTGGAACAAGTACTGAGTGTTTATTTGGGTTATTTCTTTATTAGTTATTAGCATTCTAGGATAATGGTAATCATTTATTTCTTGTATGCTTTGTATTTGGTTCATTCTTGGTTTTTTTTCTTCTTTTTTTTTGATTCGTGTATATTAGAGTTTTTTCTTTAATAAAATTTTGATTTGTTGGAATTTTGTCGCAGACAAAATTACAGTTTTAGGTTTAAAGTTATCGATATTTAATGGTATAAACCTCTGTCGGCATTAATTTCATCACATATATAATGATTTTATACGTAGAAGCTTTTTTATTCGTAACAATTAATGTAAGCGATTAACCAATAAAATTTTTATGATATCAATGCTACCTAATTTTATATCGTGTGTATACTGTATATAAATTAATGTTTGCGATTAAAGGTATACATAAAATTTATTAATTATTAATTTTCAAAACTTAGTTTATTATTAATATACATAAATAAATACTACATACATTTTATTTACACGAACCAAAGATAATATATTTATGTTTTACACGAAAATTTATCCTTGCATGTAGTATTTGGCAAAAAGATACTAAATACTAAATAGAGTTAATCATATTAAAAATCAACTAAAAAATATCATTTGAGTTAATGCATAGTAAAATAGTAAATTTTTTATTTGTAGATATCAAATATTTATCGATTAAAATTTGAAATATAAAATAGAGATAAAACATACTACGTACAAAATTGTACAAAATTTTATTATTCTAATGCAGTTCAAAAAAAATTTAACTGTGGATAAATAACATATTTAAAAATATACCAGATAACCTGGTAAAACTCTCAATTCTGATTAATATGTATCTAAACCCCATTTCATTGTGTACTTGACCCGTTTCATCTTGTAATTACGGTCTTTCACATGTTTATATCTTTCTATTTTAAAAAAAATGGTTCGAGTAATAATTGAAATGATGGAGGATAAATATTAGATCAAAAAATTTAAGTCTTGGTGCCATTCAGGGCAATAATTTATTGTCACTCTAACATCTCCTAGCCATAATTTGCGTCATCAAATTACTATTTAATTTAGACAGGATGGCAATAAATTATCTACCCTGGGTGGTGCTAAGATATTTTATTTTCATTTTAACAATAATTTAAACGATGAAACATCCAAACATTGCATTTGGATACACCAAATGTTGTACTTTTTCAATAAAGGTGCTCTGGACTGAATAAAAAGAATCATTATAATTGACGAAGGCTGTAAAGTAAGCATATATTATTTTTAAGTTGGATTATATATAAATCTTAGCATAATGAATTCTTGATCCAAATTTTAGTTGAATAATTCAATCAATACATATTTTTATTATGACATAAGTTTCAAATCAAAAGTTTATCGATGCCGAAATCAAAATCTTATCAAAACTCCAATTAATCATTTGGTCAATTTTACCAGATGTACCAAAAATGAAAACTGCTGTAATTTTATAGGAGGGTCGGGTGGATCCAAAAGTATGTTCTCTTGAGAACATGAGAACATCAGATTTCTAACACTGGTCCTAATTATGGTCTAACGATAAATCGGTAATAAAAAAATTATCAAATTATCATGAAAATAAACGTAAAAAATAATAGAATTTTCATAACTTTCAATAATTTCTCAATATGCTTCACGTATGAAAAATATTTTTTATGCATTTAACAATTTGTTGGCTAATAAATAAATATTTTAATGATAAGCGTTGAAGTTAAATCTATATGTGTGTTTAATTCTTATTATTAAATAAAATTTTAATGATAAGTGTTGAAAAATTATAAGTCGTAAGACCGTTTCTAGGACTATAAGACGGACTGACCGAACTAATAAATACTATAAAATCGGTCCAAAGGGTCCTAAACCTATTAGGACTGGCTGATCCATCCCTAGTGATGACTCCGTTAATTCTTTATTTAGAAACAATGAATCTTGTATGATTGATTCTGGAAGACAGGTTGATAAAGATTGACAATCATAGTATTTTAACGAGATCGTGGCATGGTCTTACTAAATTATTTGTCACATACTGATATTGTTCTGTACCTCTACGTATTTGCACACGAAACAAAAATGTCATTTGAATTTACTTGAATTCAAGAAATTTCATATCACAAATTGACTTTCTAATTCACTTGCATAAATACATGAACTTTCTGGTGTAAGGATTCTAAACAATCCATTTGCGAAACAATAAGAATAAGCCATGAATTTCGGGTAAATGAAATAACCCTTTAAAATTGCCAAATTGTAAAGAGACTTGGAATGAGCATATAATGTATAGAAAGCTTAGTATAAATCTACAATATAGATAAAGTATCCGCTTGATGTTGTAAACCTATCTAAACCTGCCTAAACCTGCATAAACCTGTCTAATTTCAAGCACAATAAAAAGTCCGAACAATGATATTGTCGTACAATATCACCAATGCAACTTCTCGATTAATTCTTAGCCGCCTAGGAGCAGAAAAATGTCCTGACCAAACAAAAAATTAATAATCTGGAGAAACGGATTAGAGAGTACAATATAAAGTTCAATTATCAATATTTTTAAATTAGAGTTTATTGCATATTAGCATTAGGACACAAATTAATATGTTGGTTTTCATAATATGAAACTTTTGAACAGACCGGCCGGCTTTTTTTAAAAAAAAATTTCATATATAAATTATAAAATTTTTGTAAAAAAATAAATTTTTTTTTTTTTAAACTTATCTGGTTATTAAAACATATAAAAAAAAACTTTTTTTTTACAAGCTTTCGAAATTTGATCTGGCCGGATTATGAAACCCAATTAATTCTTAATAATGAAGTTACCAATTTAGGCACACTAACCAAAATTAACCCCTAAAATCAGATCTTCCTCGCACGCATTAGTTAGTACCATACAGCATGGACTAAAATACTCCTTCACGATTTTCGGAGACGGATTAATTGCACTTGAGAATGTAAAATACCCAGGTCTAAAGATGGATTAATTGCACTCAGTATGTAAAATATTACTGCAGCACTCATATAGCGCAACTTATACCGATACCACCTACACTGACCATAGTATCCCTCCGACTATAATGCCCATTAACAGCTTAAATTTTAAAGTATTTTAGTCCAAACTGTACGGTAACTTTAAGCAGTTGCGCTTGAAGTTACAACTTCATGCAGATGCTAACTTCAAGCATGACAATATTACATACATAAAAGTATACAGAAAATTAGCAATAATAATACCCAATGATCTTGACATAATGATCGGGATATAATATTAGTATTAGCAACGACAACGCCAGTATTAAAAGTTTTGAGTTCTTGATACCAAATATTTGATTTCAATAATCAAATGTATATAAAAAAGAAAGAAGAGTTTTCGTTAATGGTAAACAAGTAGTGATTCACCTAAATTTACGATACTAAGCTAAAATAAAATCTGCTAACTATTATAGGCCTATAAGTATGTACGTAATTACGTCATCAAACTTTATTTCAAAATATTCAGACTTTATTGGATATATATCGATATATATAGGTTATCTTTAAATAATTTTTATACAGTATGAGAACTTTTTCTTTTAATAACATAAATTTTCAGTGTATTTATTTTTGGACACATAATTTTACGTCACGTTCATATTTTAGAGTCAAAAAAATTTAGTTTGCACCACTGAAAAAGAAGTTATTTTTTAGTAACTAATAAGTACATGTAAATAAATCTGTGCATAAATGCAAAAACACGATGAAACTTATTACGTATATAGAGATGTATCGTTTTAAGATCCTTTCTGAAAAAAAAAAGGAAAAGAAATCTTAATACAGTATTATTAATAATCATGTCAAATATTCTTATATAGTTAAATTTCTTTCCTTAAATTACCGAGATGATCAATTTGCTGTCTCACTTTTCACTCTATACTCTTTTCATTTTACTCTTCGTTTGAAAAAAAAATTATCAACAAAAATTTTCTATTATTTCTATACTCTAGTCCTAAAATAAGATGACTGATACAACCGATTTTGATGCTCTTGGTATAATAGCATCATCTTCGCAACAACCCATAGATGATATTAATTATCCAAAATTTCTAACCGTATCGGTATTGAAAAAACAATTACATAGTCAACTAAACGAAAATCAAAATCAAATACAGTTGATCGCTGATTTAAATACCGCTTTTGTCAAGCAACAATCTGAATTATTAAGTAGAATACAAGAACTTGATTTGACACAAGGTGATGAAATCTCTCAAGAACTAAAAGACAAGCTAACCGAGTTTGAAAAGGGTTCTAAAGCCTTGAACGAAACTATTGTAAAGGTATTAAAGGAGTTTTTAATGACATCTGTAAGTAATTTTGATCATTCTAAGAGTATTTAGATTATGTGAATTCAAGATCTGGCAATCTTAAATATATAATTTTTTTTTTCGTTAGGTAGGAGATTCTTCAACCTCGACAACTGAAATGACAGATATAACACAAATTTTGACTGCAGAAATTAAGCACTTACAAGCTCAGTTACAGGAGAAAGATCAACGAATAAAAAAACTTGAGAGGAGTAAAGCCAAATTAAATCGTTTCAGTGAACAACTTAATAAAACACTACAAACCCATCAAGAATTTGAAAGTATGATTATTTTATTTCTCAATTGAAATTAAGTATTGAAACGAATTATAGAATTTTATTAAAGAACTATTTGTTAATTTACAATTGTGATTAATGTAACAGAGCAGTTAAAAGGGGACAATTTAACTCCGAAAGTTCAGAGGAATATATCAACGTTCAATAAAGAAAAAATGTTAAGAACTCAATCAGAGATTTCTGTATGTTCTTCCAGAATCAAGAATGACCGAGTTCATAATACTCAAAACCCGGATCCAAATATTATCCATGTGATTGCTAAAACATTGATCGGTGAATACTTGTGGAAATATACTAGAAACAACTTTTGGTCAAGAAAACGGCATAAAAGGTTCTTTTGGATTCATCCTTATACAAATATCTTATACTGGAGTAAAGAGAATCCTGCCACCTATGAACTTGACAGTCTAAAATTAAAGAAAAAAGTTTCATATTTCAGTATGTACTACATATTTATTTATGTATTTCCATTATTCAGTTTAATTGTTATCTAATGCCATTACTCGATTATTACACACTTAGCTTACATATATTTTGTTCGGGAAATTATTAACGAAGATTATTCAACCCCTGATTTATATCATACGAGTTTAGTCATTACAACTCCAGAAGGCGATTTGGAAATCACAACTCAAACTAAAGAACAACATGAATGTTGGTTCCAGGTTAGTCCTCTTTTACCCTGCAATTAATATAATTAAATATATAGTAATAATGTTTATTTATTATGCCATGTGTAATGTTATATATAAAATGTTATATTTTGTAATATACTTTTATTTTGTATTAGGCTTTAAGGTATTTACATCAGAGATCTGTCGAAGCTAATTTAAATCGAATTCCAGCTTCACTTTCAGTAGAACTTCTTAATAACGATTCGGATTATTTTTATGAAGATGAAGATGATAGTGATGATTTAAAAAATATGCGACAATGTTGCAATGGTCGGCATGATATTAGTAAACTTGAGCGTGCTCCTAATTATAATAGATTCGTTCTATAATCATTTTCTCTTTTCTTGCATGTAAAACCTTGTTAGCAATTCTTTTATTAAATAGTTTTATTCAATTCATTTTATATCTGCATTAAATTTCTTCATTTAAGTCCTTTCTAAATCGATCAAAAAAAAATTTGATCTTAATAGTATATAGTCTGATTCTGTTCTAGTGGTTTTTGGTGTCTTTCTCATTATATTAAAATGTTCATTTTTTCTCATTGAAAATGAGGATTAAATTTGCTTACATAAAGACAAGAAGACCTTTATTGACTTGCCTAATAATATTCAAATGCGTTTATAATTTTTTTGCATTGTTTAAAATAAGTTCCCAAAAATACAGTGTTGGCAAATTATATGATCATATACGTATCATTTTGTCATATTATTTATAGGGAATTGACACCGACACCGCAACACGTGATCTAATTTCCTAATTCTAACACTAACCTTAGCGATTATGCTGGCCGTGCGGTGTCGATAAGGTTTTAGTGCTGGTCATTTGCGGTGCGATAAGGCGGTGTCGATAGCAATCCCCTATATATATTACATAGTATATGACTTACGACACATATCTAGTGATGTGCCGCGTACAGTACGTATAAGACGTACAGTTGTATAGTGTGTATAGCATACGTAATACACATAATAGATGTGGCATTTATAAATCAGTTATATGCAACATTGTGTAAGGAGTAATTTTTGTTAGAATGCGAGCAGTTTCATAATCAAAAATTTGAGATAGGGATGTGTACTGTACGTCTTGTACCTACTATATCATATAAATGGCACATCTATTCACATATCATTTGTCATTTGTCATATGACAGAAATTAGATTGCGACACCAATTGTGTTAATTTAAAATAAATAAAAATTATTAATCAACTAGTCGCTTTGAGTTGCTTAAAAGGAGTCAGAAATAAGTGTGGTGTATTTTATTGTATACTGTATTATACTGAAATAATGCCGCAGGATGTTATTTCGAGGGACTTAATTTCCGGAGCAGAGCGGAGGAACTTAAGTCCAGACAATAGGTAAGAAAAATCCCGTGTGGGTGGACTCCAGCAGTTTATAACATGTTTACCATTTTTAGCAGATATAACGTTTTTTTCAAATTGATATATACAATTTATTACATTAATTAACTTTATATTTCTATGATCTTGAAAAAATACAATTTCATCAGCATTCAAATATTAGGTAGTTTGTCGTTTTTAGCAATAATAATCAACGGCATTCAGTATTATGTATTTTGTTGCTTTGGTAATGATAAAAAAAAAAGGAATTAACCAGTCTCACAACAATAGTATGATCATTAATGAATAAGTCTGTATTAAGCCATTATACACTATGTATTTGGAATTTAGATCAAGGGAATATAATATATTAGAAGCTTAAGTAGAGATGTTAATCGACTCAACCAATTACATCATATTAACTTTATTCATATTATTGCATCATATTAACTTTGTTCATATTATTACATCTAAATCACCTCTAACAACTGATTTTACAAAAGTTAAAATTTTTATGATTTCGTTAGACATTTAGATAAGTGTGTAAAAGTTATGTATTTCACTAAAAAACTAACATCTTCAGATTAGTAGATCCAATGTGACTTTATAAGTTTTTTTGCATAATACGAAGCGGTGCTCCAAAACCCAATAGATCCCGTTTTACTAGTTTACAATGCTTTTCAAATTACTGTGACCATCAGATGATCGACCACCTTTAAATTCATCATTTTTTTAAAAATTCCTACTTAAAAAATTTGAATTCCAAAGATTCCTTGTCAAATTCTAATTCTTTAGCATAACATTCATTACTATAAAGAATGGAGAGTGACTATATGGAGAGCAGACTGTATTAATTTTTAGTTCTCTTGAAATAATATGCATCAAAATAACGTCCAGCATTTCACAATAATACAATAAGACTTTTAGATTGATTGTGCGCCCTATAAAATCAGATCTTATGAAAAAGTCTTAAAACCTAGGTTTGTTTAAGGCCAAGTTTTTAAGTTTAGTCCTAATTAGAGATGCAGCCGTAACTAGTTACGACATAGCTTTAGCTAGTTACGGGTTATGTCATAACATCATTGGGATGATTCGCCTGCACCTCTAGTCCTAATCAATATTAATGTTGATGTTAAGATATTATCATAATGAACTACATCTTTATAAGTGCGAGATAGCTGATTATAATAATAAATGTACTGTATTCTTCTTTTAATTAATGTGTATATATTTGCTAAACGATTACTACTAGCATTAAAGAGAGTTTGATTTATAAAAGGAGATGACATCTAAATGTATATATAATCTAGGTATGACTTCCTTAGAGTTATTTCTATATAAAGACATATATACTTCTTATTAATTGACAAGTGAAAAGCTCTACTGAGTCTTAGGGAAAATCCGAATGTTTTGTGCGATTCATTGGTATAGATCATTGATGCTAGTTTCTATCCTGTACGGGAACTAAGTTTTATTAATTCTCATCAATTTACTATTAATAATGCATATGCATTTGTGAAAAAAAGAATAAATATGAGTATGGCAGAATGAAAACTTGTAACTACATTTAATAAGTTACCATGATCATTTACAGGTTTCACTTTACAACGCTCATATTGATATGCTATAAATCCAATAGATAAAAAATATAAATAAAATAAATATAATTAGCATACGTATAAATCTATTGGAAGTAGTAGAAGCGTAACCTAATAACAACCTTGCTCACAAAATTTATGCTTGAGTTGACAAGCACACTATACATATTTTAACTGATTTTTGATATAATTCCTTTTTGCAAAACACTAACTATATTACAACCAAAAATAAAGAATATATTATTTTGGATTCATATAAATGTATATGGTTATTTATTTATGTAAATTAAAAATATTAACGATAACAAATATATAACAAATCGAGATTTAATGATTACAGAATTTACAGATTATAGTATAAAAAATTCAACGTTTCAAGATTCTGTATCGACATAATTTTTATTAATGTTAAGAATCATTTTGGTTGTCTTTACCCTTCAGGAATTTTCACACTATCAACAAGTTTGTTAATGACCATCAAACAAAATCACACGTCATAAGGAATTTCCACACTATCCAACTTTGATGATGCATTCGTGATTTCTTGCGTGTTAATGGGCTTGCTCATGTACATGTGATCCATGTGCTTTTTTGGTTCAAGCTTTGGTTTTGAGTTATCAGCTTTTGTCTCAGGGTTTGGCCTCACGTTATCAGCCTTCAAGAATTGCCTTTTAATTATGCCTTTACTACTCTCACTCGTAAGTTCTTCTATCCAAACAGTCATAACTGCATTAACATATCTAGCAGTAGGTCTTTCTTTTGGGTCAGAATCAGTACATTGTTTAATTAATTCAACATAACATTTAGGTGTCCCGACAGCGATTTCTGGTCGCAATCCACAACAAATCTTTATGGCTAGATCGTTATTAAATTCAAAACCATCGAAAGCTTTTTCTCCTGTTGATATTTCTGTCATTATAATTCCGAGACTATAAATATCTGATGCTTTTTTATATTTTTGGTTAAATAAAACTTCTGGTGCTACATATGGCAAAACTCCATAGATTTCTTTTTTAATATTAGAAAGTCCCAAATCTGTAATATACGCGTTATTTAATTCGTTTTGTAAAATATTTCCACTATGTAGATCTCGATGCTCTAATCCTTGCGAATGAATTGCTTCAAGATCTGATGTTATA